CAGTTATAATACAGCGATATGAACACTACCTAAAGGTACTAGTCTGTAACCCAATGGTCTTATTATTGAGAGTTATCAGTTATAATACAGCGATATGAACACTACCTAAAGGTACTAGTCTGTAACCCAATGGTCTTATTATTGAGAGTTATCAGTTATAATACAGCGATATGAACACTACCTAAAGGTACTAGTCTGTAACCCAATGGTCTTATTATTGAGAGTTATCAGTTATAATACAGCGATATGAACACTACCTAAAGGTACTAGTCTGTAACCCAATGGTCTTATTATTGAGAGTGACTAGTTGCAACCTAGCGATATGAACACTACTTAAAGGTACTAGTCTGTAACCCAATGGTCTTATTATTGAGAGTGACCAGTTGCAACCTAGCGATATGAACACTACCTAAAGGTACTAGTCTGTAACCCAATGATATTGAGAATCGGTCTTTTCTCAGTAGTTAACAAACTATGGTACTACATGTTTTCTTATGGCACTAATTTGTAACGTTTCGATACTAACGAACCACAATTTGAGCAGACTAATCTGAAACGTAAGTGTATTACTACTACTACTACATATTTCACATTCAAGAGAGTAACACTGAACTTGTATTTTACTGAAAGAAGGAGTATTTTTTTGCAAGTTTTCTTTCTCATTTCGAAGTAAGCAAGATGAAGTAAAGACTTTTATGACCACAAGATGTCGTGATCTGACAGTCGTTTCTCAATCTAACAACTGAAGAAAGAGGACCCACTGTCTCATCACACTTTATAAACAACAATGTCAAAAACTTCGAAACTGGCCATCAACAGAGGTCGTAACTGTCGCTGCTTAAAGGAACGTTGAATTAAACAAAGGTTCACAAATGTTTTGAACACTGTTCTGGATACTTCGATCAGTATTTCAACGTCATACGACCAGCTGCAACCAGATGAAACACAAATCCGGTGATTTTGGTTGAGTCTAAGCAGGAATTCGTTTACTTTTAATACGTCGCAAACTATTTACAACCAGTTATTTTCATAAAGTTATTTTAGATGTTCTTTAACGATGTGCATTTCAACTTCTTCGCGACTGTTCTGGAATGTAAAACAGAAGGTTTTTTTTCATCCTTGTTTAGGGCAGCATTAGTAACAACCTATAATAATTCAATCCAAATCATCGCGTTGTCCGCGCCATCTAGCCCAATCGAAAAAAAGAACGTTTTCCGGTGAAAGAAATACGTTATATTCCTTCGTAAGACAACGCCTTCATTGTAACGCATTCGTAAAGTACAAGTTCTGTGCCTTAGTTCACGTTCAGACGGCGGTTTCTCCGCGTTCGTGGCCGCATAGTCTGTCCACCAGTGATTTCACCTGCTAGGTTATGTAAAAGCTCAGAATGGTTTCCTAGAACAGGGCCATTGACGGAAACTTCGGAGCTGCTGGTGAAGCCGTTGTCCCGTTTCAGAAACCTAAAGCACTTCCTCAACCTTTTCCGCCGGAACTTCTTGCTAGCCAGCGGTTTTCCGTTTTTATTGAAGCCTAAATACCACTCCTTCCTCTTCCTGATGGACCGAAATATAGAAAAATCATGTTCCAGAATTTCTTCGAATAAACAACGAATATGGTCACCGCTGCACTGAAAAGGTCGAAATAAAAACAATCAAAAACCCGAATTAAGATACAATCAAAACCTGAATTAAAATACAATCAAAACCTGAATTAAAATACAATCAAAACCCGAATTAAGATACAATCAAAACCCCAAATTAAAATACAATCAAAACTCGAATTCAAGTGTAATAAAACCCGAATTAAGATAAGTAAAAGTAGAGCGTTAAAAACACAATACGAACTCATTGTTTTAGTTTAATCCCCGTTCCACCAAACATGCTCGCCCTTTCAGCTGTGGGGGCGTTATAATGTGACGGTCAATCCCACTTTTCGTTGGTAAAAGAGAAGCCCAAGAGTTGGCGGTGGGGGGTGATGACTAGCTGCCTTCC